GATCAGTTCACCGAGAGAGAGACCCTGGTTCACCGAGAGACCCCCAGTTCAGTTCACCGAGAGAGAGACCCCCAGTTCAGTTCACCGAGAGAGAGACCCCCGGTCCACTTACCCCCACTTTAATCTGTGGGCACAAGGGAAGTTCCATTGACAGGAAGAACGGCAACGGCAGCAGTTCCTGGAGAATCCGCAGTACGCCAGGTACCGGGGCTGCCGGCGCCGGTGGGGCAGCAGCCGCAGGTCAGAGAATGGGGAGGGCGATGAGGAATTCCCGTTAGAGGGAGTCAACATGGCTGATGCCAGCCAGCCTCGTCCCGGCAAACGGGTCTGCTTTAGTTGTTTGGGAGGGAAAGGGCTTTGGGGAGCGTTTGCGTAGCACCGTGTGACGCGCTGAAGAAGAGATGGCCGGGTCTAACGCTGGGGGGCACAGAAAATCAGAAAAGAGGAATTCAGAAGAAATTGGGATCTGGTCTAGTGCTACTAGGTACCTTTCCGCCAGTGATGAAGAGGTAGGTATGAAATCAATCCCCATGACTGGTGGAGCCGTAAATGAAGATCCGCTTAAATGTGCCCAGCTCCGTTCTTGTTCGTGCTGTGACTTTGAAGCCGTGGGCCTTGACCAGGCACTGAGGGAGCTCGGCAAGACTTCCCTGACACCTGAATCTAGATCGCTGCTGCTTCACAGCCTCCTTTTAATTCAAAACTCCTGAAAGGACTTTGCAAGCTAATTACAATGTCCCCTTTGTCAGGCCCAAGCTTTGCAAGACATTTAAGAGGCCAGAGCGTCAGTATGCACTTGTTCAGCTCACTGCTGCCTTCCCCCAGTCTATATTTCACCAGCCAGTTGCTTTTGTGGCATCAGTGGCAAACTAATCACATTCCTTTACCCCTCTCTGTATTTCATATAAACCAAGGTTACACACAGCATCACTTTTATGAAATGTATCGGTATGCAAACACTTGTTCTACTTCCTGAAATATTTTAAAATGTATAAGTAATATTTTTTAAGATTTGGGATTCATGGCGGCCTTAAAAATTCATTGTTGGTTGTAGGATTGGGTAAGAAACGCCACACTCTGGGTCAGCCTTTCCTGAAAGCCCTGCCGAGAAGGACCTGGGGGTACTGGTGGATGAAAAGCTGGACATGAGCCAGCAATGTGCGCTCGCAGCCCAGAAGGCCAATCGTATCCTGGGCTGCATCCAAAGAAGCGTGGCCAGCAGGTCGAGGGAGGTGATTCTGCCCCTCTACTCTGCTCTGGTGAGACCCCACCTGGAGTACTGCGTCCAGCTCTGGAGCCCTCAGCATAAGAAAGACATGGACCTGTTGGAGCGGGTCCAGAGGAGGGTCACAAAAATGATCCAAGGGCTGGAACACCTCTTCCATGAAGAAAGGCTGAGAGAGTTGGGGTTGTTCAGCCTGGAGAAGAGAAGGCTCCAGGGAGATCTTATTGAGGCCTTTCAATATATAAAGGGGTCTTATAAGAAAGATGAGAGACTTTTCACTAGGGCCTGTAGTGACAGGACAAGGGACAATGGTTTTAAACTGAAAGGGGGTAGGGTTAGGTTGGACATAAGGAAGAATTTTTTTACAATGAGGGTGGTGAGACACTGGAACAGGTTGCCCAGAGAAGCTGTGGATGCCCCATCATCGGAAGTGTTCAAGGTCAGGTTGGATTGGGCTTTGAGAAACCTGATCTAGTTGAAGATGTCCCTGCCCATGGCA